TATATACATAACTACATTGATGTATATCAAAACAAGTTAGGTACTTAAGTTATAATTTCTTGTATGTACTTAATATATATGTAATATATATGTATATATATATGTATGTATATATATATATATATATATGAACTGGATTAAAAATGCTAAATAATTTGGATGATAATGCCAATTTATAATGCACATTATGAGGTCATGTGACAATTTAACATATGACCATTTAAAGTGTTTGTTGCATTTTCACATACTAATTTGGCAAATTGTAGGCTGTATACAGTATATACAACCCATATGCAATAATGATGCTTATATATTTTGTACTCATATTTTTGACTTATGAAAAATTTATTTTATGTACACACATCTCTCTCTCGCTAAACACCGAATTATTGCTGTATTTTACAGTAAGTGAAGCTTTGATTCTGAGTTTTCTTTGTGTGTGTGTATATGTATATGTATATATATATATATATACACATACATACATACATACATACACATATATGTATGTGTATATTTGGCCAAACCAAATATATTTTGCTAAACGACATTTTAATAGATTAGATACTATGTAAAGATTTAAATAGATATATAATGTAAATCACCTTAATTAAATTTCTTTAAAGCAAACTCTCTTTTGTAATTAAATGAAATTGCCTTCTTTAATACAGCCGTTAAAATGGCTGCCTTGATGTTAGCTTTTCAGTTCTCAGGAGGGTTTCTTTCTCTTCCTGCGTGTTAATCTCCGATTACTTCATACAAAGAGACATTCATTAGCAGGACAGACCAAAGGAAAATGAAGCCTTTTTAGAGTTCAACTAGAGAATGGAAACAGAACAGTAAAAAAGTGCAGTGCGAATTCATCTCATGTCTCATAGCGATCCGACAGACCTATCAGAATCACCGCAAACGCTTAAGCACTTTCAGTGGAATGAGAACAGAAGTATAGTTATCAAGAAAAATGTACCTCAATTCAATGGAGTTATTACACTCTTTAAAACATGTCTCAAAAGTACTTAAGCAAATGAATTAGCTTGTGTTACTATTCCCAAAAACGTCTAGAATGTTCTCAAAGTTCTTCAAACCGCTTCCAGGATGGTTGTAGTTTGATAGTTGTAGGTTTAGTTGGCTTTAAAGGTAATAAATGTGTAATTTTATAAAGTTAAACACCTACGCTGGTTTAAAATGCACACTGCAGATTTAATTGCACCTCTGTCCCGCTCTCCTCCATCAGATCTGGCCTCGTTACACCCGTTCATTCATCATCTAGTCACACATTAACATAATATTAACATAATATTAACATAATTAACATGCGTGTGTCACTGACCAGAGGGCTGTTAAACATTGTTCACACATCTCCTCTAGCATGTTTGACATTTTAAAGTGCTGAGCGTGTAGCTTACAGCGCAGGTAGAGCTACACACGGTCAGTAATTATGCAACATGCTAGCCTCGGGTACAGGAACTTTGGAGATAATTAATATATTAAAACTGCACTCACATCCTCTCCACTACACCCAAATGATTAGAAAAGAGAATTAAAAGATGAAATTCAGTGTGATTCCCCTTCAAGTACATTCATGAGGACAAAAACGGCAGCTAATGTTAGCAACAGCATGCTAACATGCTACTTGCACTATTTCTGCAGGATGAACTATGGGTAATCCACTGTATATTAAATTTTAGTATGCACTGAATGCACAGATGACTTTCTATATTTGATAAAACATGAAGTATACAATAGAGCATGGAGTACTGTATCCCACAATGCAATGCAACTAACTTTTAGAATGTTAGAAGTAATATGAACTACAAATTTCTTTTGTTGACAGCTTAACGTTAAAGCATTTTAATGAACATTGGATTAAAAACAAATAATTTGGATGACAACGCCAATTTATAATGCACATTATTAGGTCATGTGACAAACTATAGCATGTGAGCATTTTAAGTGTTTCTGTTGCATGTTCACATACTAATTGCTCAAGGTAAAAGTAAATTCAGTCTAAAAGTAATCTAAAAAGTAGTCAGAATACATTACCTGAAATAAGTAATCTAGATTGTTACTTCATAATGTAATCTGTAATCAGTAATTTTTACTGTAACTATCTTTACCGTAACTTTTTTACTTAAACTTTACTGTATTTTACAGTAAGTGAAGCTTTGATTCGGAGTCGTCTTTGTATTGACAAGTGGTGGGTGTTTAAATTCCTGCTGTTTCTGTCTGTGATATAAAAAATCTGTGAGAATAAGCAGGTGAGAATGTGTTACAGACAGAACATCTGTATGTGTTTCTAATTTAGCCGAGACTTCTGAAGCAAACCCAACCTGCAGGAAATATCGTTCCTGTCAAGAGGCCATCTTTAAATCCTGTTCATATGCGTATGACGATAAAATAAAAGCTTTTATGATTTTAAAAGTGCTTTATTCCGGTGTCTTTTGACGGGAAATGAGCACTCTTCAAATGGATAATTACACCTTAATCTTCGGTTCTACAGTGAAATCGTGAAACACGCCTGCCAGAGGAAATCAGAAATGAAAACAACATTGAGAGAGCGAATCTGAGATGTCTCTGTTTGTATGCGTCAGTCAGCATCCAATAAACCCAAAACAGTTATTTTCTATTCATTAGATAAATTAGTCGGAGTGCCTCATTCTGGGAGTTTCCGGATGATTCTGCATCTCTAAAGAAAACCATAATTTTCTCTGCCTGTCTCTTTTTTTCCTCTTTCGATAAGTGATTACGGAATTATTTCCAGTACTACGAGGAGGTGAATTTATTTTTATGCTCTAAAAGCTCTATAAAGTTCTCTAGAAAAGTTCTACAGAATGCATAATATAATTTCAGTGGCACCTGGTTTCCTGTGTGTTCCCTGATAAGATCCTGCAGGCATCTATCTGGTCATCAGCTCCAGTTAGGATCAGACAATGACCACTCTTAAAACCATGATAAGTATTAGGCTCTTTTCTCCTTGAAGCTTCTAATTATAATAAATCTCCTTATTTTGAGTCATTTTCTTAAGCCCCCTTCACATATACTGTGATTTTTATCATGGAGGTCATGAGGTTTCTGTACTGTTGGTTGCTAAAAGGCGCTGGGTGAGCGTCAATGGAAGCTTCACAACTATTGAAAATCTGATCGAAAATGAGATGCACTTGTGATAAAAATAAGATGTTCTATTTTGATAAGAAGCACCCAATGGCTTCCAGTCATTTTGTCATTGCAAATCACTGTATGTGTGAACCCTATTATTCAGAGAAAATGAAAAATGTTCTTGTTCAGCTCTTACATAGAACTTTACAACTTTCAGAAGGTCCTGCATTACCATAATGACTCCGACAGGGACACAGGAAAACCATTACGATAAAATGACACTGTTTTCTTACCTGCTGGTTAATATTATTTCACATTAACTGCGCAAACGCCAAAGTTTCCCCTGCAGAGCAAAATAAACAAGGCACAATTTTGATAAAAAATCTCCATAGATTGTTTAATACAACATACCATATTTTCAACAATTCAACATCAATAAAATTGTTAATTAAAAAAAAAAGAAAACAAAATGCATATTACCTTTATTGCACAGAACAATTTAAACATTTTTCATACTAGATTTTTTCACCTTTTTAGGTTTCCGTTTTTTTCTTTAGTATAAAAGAATATAATGGACCACATTAATGCACATTATCGTCCTGGGTTGAATGTCGGAGAGGGCAGAGGTCATATAAAGATTTTTTCGACGTAATAGGATGAAAACAGCAGGTAGACCACAGAGGCAGAGGATCAGAGAAAGATTCAGGTGTGTGTGTGTGTGTGTGTGCATGTGTCAGATTAACGCTAAAGTGGATCAGTAAGGGTTAAACCATCTGTCCAGCTTCTCCATCTGCAACCCCAGTCAGCAGTACAAACCACTTAGCGAGGCGAAACCCATCTACACCCGAGCAAAATCCAGTGCATAAACACAGCTCAGCGTCCTTCCACAGAAATCACCTGCCCTGCTTGGCCCAGATTACACACACACTTAAAACACAGCTGGACTGTGGAGAGAATTCATTTAACCGTTGCATTTCAGCACAAAAACCTGCTTCATACTCACTAACCAGTCCATTTTAACCGGTCTCTATCTAGCACTGCACAACTGTGCTCTCTTTTCAGCATAAAACATGCCTACTTTCAGTTTACACCCACTTTTTTTATTCACAAACACTGTGCTATTACCTCCTGTGGAAATAGAAGTGAAACAACATTATCCTAGAGCGCTCATTCTTAGTAAATTCCCCTCTTGCATGTAGACATCTGTCATCGTAACAAACCAGCACCGTTTGAGTCCTTAGATGTGCTGGGTAGCATTTAAAATGTTTCTTTGGGTACCAACGCTTCATATAATGTAAAGAAAAATGTATCTGAGACCATAAGACAGGTCTAAGACTAAGACCATTAGATAGGCGCAAGACCGTAAGACAGGTGTAAGACCCATGAGACAGATTTGAGAGCATGAAACAGGTGTGAGACCCAACGGCAGCCGCAGGTGAAGGTGATTGAGTGCTGTCGAGCATATTAACACTCTCACCTTTTGATGAAATGATTGATTCTGTTAGGAACAGCTTTCGCACATACACACTCTGAGATGGAGCTATACATTCTCGGTGTAGCTTCTCAGGTGAATAAAACTTGGAATGGGTTTGTTATATAAAAATGTGACGCTGCAGTGCTGTTAAATGGGTCTAAACCTGACCAGGCACTACAGAAATGCTCACTGCAGGTTACAGTGATCATTTCTACATAAAGCAAAACACACAACAAAAGTCACATAATTACCGCTGCTTTCACTTGCCAAGCCATTAATCCAACAATAAACAACCTGTATTTGTTTATCCAGATGCTTGAGTCATAAAATTCCCTCGGCTTATCCAACAAATGCATTAAAATGCGGATCCGAAAGCAAAATGAGAACCAAACAGCAGAGAAATACAGATACAAAGAAAGAAATGTGCAGTGAAAGTTGCACTATACACATATTTCTCTATGGTGGGAATAGAAATGCAATCTATTATATTCAACTTTCTGTTGTTAGACACAATGTAGAAGACGAATTTGGGCAGCTGTTAGGTTTGTTAAATGTGCTTTTCACCCCTGATTTATCTACTGTTATTCTGTCTGTTAAAATTATTCATGTAAGTAGAAAACAAGAAAACAATGGGTTAAACAAACAAACAAACAAACAAAAAAGATGCGGGCAGCAGGACAGCAGGGAGAAGGATGCTCTGCCTTTGCCTTCTGGAGGTCGACACAAAACATTTTGGAGGTTCGGTTTTTCCTTTTTTTCCATGTTTTTTTGCCCATAAAAATCCACAGGAACTGAAGTGTTTTAAAACAAAATCCTCTCTCAAAGATATTGGTCCCCATAGGCTGAGTTTAAGCGGCCATCACAGAGGAGTGCGCAAGAGGACATTTTCCCCCTCCCATGTTCAATATTGAACAAAAGCACCGACCCCTGTGCCGCACATCCATCTTTAGAAAGGGGGAAAAACACCCCTCCTCTATGGGGAGCTCGTCAGAGCCAGAGGTTGTTCAGGCAGGGAATCTCTTGTTTTTGTCTTTACGAGTCTGTTTTTGAAAGGGTCTTTTGAGCTCCTTGGCTGGATTATATCATTTTCATGTTAAATTTCCGAGGGGCATCAGCGCCGCTGCTGCTCATCCCAGCGTCCGATTTGCGCGGGACGTACTCTATCTCAATGTTGTGTTTGCTGTTGCCTTTGCCTCTGCTCCAAAGAAAGAGCAGAACAAGGCAGAACAGAACCACACCCAAAAAGGAGATGAAGCCCATGGTGGTGGCGATGATTAGCGTCTTTATATCAAATGGGAACGGGACTGTTGCTCTTGTTCCATTGGCTCCGTTGTCGTTGGGTTGGTTGGAGATAAACGCCAAGGTTTTGTTGGGTTGGTTGGGCCAGTCTGGCGAGTAACTGTGGATGTGTAGGTGGGCCAAAGTGGTGTCGTTTCCACCGGCGTTGCTAGCAATGCACACATATGTCCCATTGTCCTGAATCTGAGCGTAGCGCACCTCCAAGGTGCCATCCGGGAAAACAGTGAGCCGTCCTATCGTTTTCGTGGTGATGAACTGTTTTTGTGGGGAAAGCCACATGATGACGGGTGTCGGGTCTCCATCTGCTTGGCAGACAAAGTGGACGGTGGTGCCTTCGTCAACGAACTTCTGCTGGGGTTTCCGGTCTCGAATCCTAGACTTGCGACACGTGAAGTAATTGGTTTGCAGCACGTCAGGGAAGTCCTTGAACTCTTTTCCCTGAACGAACTCGGGTGAGGAGCAAGTTGGCTGCTGGCGGTTGAAGTTGAGCCTCCAGCGGCGTCGGAAAACCCAAAGCAGACGGCAATCACAAGCCAGCGGGTTGTCATACAATGCGAGGGTCTCCAGGTTCCCCACCGAATGGAACACAGACTCCTCTAGGGTGCTAAGGGAGTTGCTGGACACATTGAGGACTTTCAGGTAGTTCAGTCCTCTAAAGGAATAGGGTTCAATCATCGTCAGTCGACCGCCCACCAGGTGGAACTCTTGCAGTCTAAGCAGGTCATGAAGCCGGTTGCCTTCGATCATCTGGATGGGATTGTAGGACATGTTAAGGAAACGAAGATAAACCAGGTGCCGCAAGGCCAAATACGGAATTGATGTCAGGTTTGCGTTAGTGATCGTTAGGGAGGTAAGATTCAATCCGTGCAAGCAGTTGGTGGTCATAGTATCCAGGTAGGGCCAGTTGGCGATCTCCAGCACTTTGAGACGGTAGAGCCGCTTGAAGCTGTAGTCTCTGATGCTGTTGATGTTGAGGTTTCGCAAGCGCAGCGTGACCAAGCTGTGCAGGTGCGTGAAGGCCTCTGTCGGGACAGAGGTCAGGTTGCACTTTTCGAGCGTGAGCTGCTCCAGGCTGCTGAGGCCGTGAAACGCCCTGTGGGATATGAAGACAAGGTCATTATCCCCAACCTCCAGAGAGCGCAAGTTGTAGAGGTCCTGGAACATGTAGTCCAGCAGAATTACGATCTTATTTTCACTGATGTCCAGCTTTGTTAGGTTACTGAGGCCCGTAAACACTCCCAGCTGGATGAGCTTCAGCTTGTTGCTGCGCAGTCCCAGAGTCTGCAGGCCAAAGAGGTTGTTAAAGGCCCCTGGCTCAATGGTCGAGATGGTGTTTTCACTGAGCTCCAGCTCTTCCAGCTGCGGGAAGGCGGAGAACTCATCTGGGTTGATGGTTTTGATTCGATTCTTGCTGAGGTCCAGGAGTCGTGTTTCAGATGGGATTCCCTCTGGAACAGACATCAGCTTCTTGCGGTGGCACAAGACAGAACGCTCCTGAGCATTGCACTCGCAGCGTGATGGGCAGCCCGTGGCAGAGCCAGACAGCACTGTGCCCAGCATTAAGATTAGAATGGGCTGCCAGCATGCCACCAGGAAGCTGTGCCCACTCACTTCCCCTGCTACCATCCTACCGGTTACCTGCACAGAGTGAGAAAAAGAGAAAAAGAGTGCTGAGTTATAAAATATGAAATTCAAGGCATCCAAATCAATAAACAATTATACCATACAGTATTGACTGAACTTCTAGTGGGTTATTTTCTTTGGCGAGCAGGATATGGCTCTAAAACATGAGTGAATTGTGTATTCATTGAATACTATTCATTGAAAGAGCGGAGAGGGTAAAAGAGCGTTTTACTAAGAGTTTGACTAATATAGCAGAAATCATTTTCCATTTCCAAAGTGTCAACTGCGTGTTTCATTACATTATAGGCTCATAAAACTACTGTACTAAAGATTGTTGGATTATTCAGAACTGTGAAAAGGAAGAGCCAATGGCGTGTATTTGCATAACCGTGCGAATCGGCACTTTTGGATTCTATCTCCTTTATTTTGAGCCCAGCTAGTTCAACTTCAAAAGATTTTAACACACAGTAGCACTCGTGCTAACTGAGCTCAGGGACTTGACTTGGAATCCATTGCAAAGGTTACATCACCATCATAAGATATTTATGAATCCTCTAAACCTCTGGTGCACCTAACACAGCTGAGCAGTGAGTTAGAGGGCTGTTTCTGTGTCCCAACCCGCCTTTTCACTCTCAAATCCTAAGAGTGTTCGCACTTCCATGTCTGGGGTCCATATGAAACGATGGCACGGAGGCATATGTGTGAATTTATCCACAATTTTCAAGGAGAAATCCACTTCACAGGAAGTCAGCAGGTGCAAGCATTAAATAGCTAGCATATGCCATCCGTGAGAGAGACCAAAAGACGAGGAATTGGTTTAAGACTGATCTGAAACACTCTCGCTCTCTGATGAATTACTAAAAGACATGCTGACCATTGAAATCTGTACACAGAGATTCTAATGCTTCCTGAATCAGCGAAAAAACACTATTTATGCATAACTGCCCTTATTGTGAGGTTTAGCTTCTTAGCTTTGGTTTGGTTGAGTCTTCCATGCACTTAGACCATGATAAAAGTCTTCAAAATAACAGCAGAAACACAACTACAAGATAAAACAGACTTGTTATACAATCTTCGGAAATTAATCTTTAAGTGGAAACTGTTCCAAAACCTAGTTAGCCACCTTGCCTACATAGACATCATCCGAATAGAACCTCATAAGGGACTTATTCTGAATGCTACACGGGCAGCAACTTCACATGTTAGCATGTTACTAAGCACTGCTGTTAGCATGTTGCTAAGCTAATGATGCCCTACTATCCACCTTATTCCTCAACGCAGAAGTAAGCCTATGGGCGATACTTCTGGTTAATTAGCCGCTTTACGGAAATAACGAGAAGAATAACAACGTGCAGTAAACGGTAAAACTGTTTGCACTACAAACCAGTGTGTTCATAATCAAGATAATACATAAAATAAAAGAGTAAGACACACCAATTTGCAAAATCAAACAGCAAAATTAGCTGTTTTGTTCAGCTAAAAAAAAAAGCTGGATGCGGATGACACTGGAAGCCAGTCCCATAAAAATTACAAATGGCTGTGCCCGCTCTTACAGGAAAAATAAGGTGGATAACAAACATAACAAACATAGAACACACAAAAATAGTGTAAAACAGCCAATTTTAGCTATTTCTTTGGTATCTCTTTACTGATCGATCATCTTTGGAGTTTTTCACAGAGTTTCTTGCAGTGCATTCTGGGATTCGGGGATGATACATATAGAATACAGCTAAAATGCATCTAAGAAAGATTTTTAATAATTCATAAAAGTTTTTGCATAGATAGCACATATACATTGCCTTAAAATGCTGTCTAGGTAGGCAGCTCACTTGGGTTTTGGAACAGAGCTTGCATATCTAAGGTTTTACTTGTTTTTTTTTTTTTGATTTGCTGTCACACTATTCTCTGCCAACCTGTCGTGTCTCTGATTATGGTTTCATAACCACCTACACAGCACTGGAATACTTCTATTGAGAATGTTCATTTCCTGTTCGTGTAACACAACATCACTGTCAAATGATCATAAAAAAGATGTACAACTTGCATTAGGAAGCCTGACGACATTGATGATTGCTTCTGCCCTGAAAGACTGGTAAATATTATGCATTGTGATGCTGATATCAGAGACCCCCCACAAGCAAATGACTTTTCAGTTCGAAGAACTTGTAGAGCTTTAGCTTTTGAGAGCCTTAAAATGGTTATTTAGGGAATCGCAAATCTTGAAACACAATGACCATTAAACAGAGTCATTGGTATGCAGAAGAACTCGACCCACCCACACAAACACAAAATACATTACATACATCTCTGAGATGAGCCTGTTACAAGAAGCTAAAGACAGAAAAGATCTTGTTAGCAAATTCCCAGTGCAAATTAAAAGTAAAATATTCTCTGATTAATTGGCATATATGCAATCTACTCTATTTCACAAAATAATTCACAACTATGTGAGTAAATATTTATATGGATAAGGAACTTACAGTATGTGGAACTTACAAATGTGTGCATAAATATCTGCATACATTCAGGTAGTCAACAAGCCTATTTCCAGTTCTAAAGGAATATGTATAGGAAGTGATTCACAAACATTTCAGGTGAGGCCAATTTGGATTTTTGTTTGTAATTTGTTGATTTGTAATGAATAAACTGCAGTGATCTAACTGTGAGCCCCAGTTGTTCATCAGGATCAATAATGAAGCCACTGAAGGGTTGAGTTTGGCTGGAAGCATTCAGCATGTGGCCCAGAGGCCCTGTGTTAAACTGTTAGCACTGTTGAGGGGAGGCTGGGTTCTGCAAAGCAAATTAAGCAGCCTACAGTGTGTGCTACCAAAACCTGAGAACATATGTAAATGTTCTTCATATGAATCTGACATGAAAGAACTATCACTGCTGTCTGGTCATCAGGAAATAAGCACACACACACACACACACACACACACACACACACACACACACACACACACACACACACACACAC